CCATATAAAAAATAAACATTCACAAAGGACTCTGAGGGGAATAACCTAATAGAGACTCTACTGGGGAATATCCGAGGTGATGAATCCATTAAGGAATATCCGAGGTGAGGAATGGTAAACAAATACCTAACCAAGGAATTCCAGCCAAGCGGACAGAAAGAAAACATAGGGCAAGAAGAGAACAACCAAAGGGGATCAATTGGTAGTTTTCTGAACTAAGTCAAACTTAGCTGGGGAATACCAACAAATTTGTCAAAAGACAACCGAGGGTAGAAGCCGAAATAAAAACGGTCACACTGGACTCAACCAAAGAACACCACAAGGATCACACGAAAGGTGACAACAACCCAAATATAAACATCAGAACTTAAGGTAAACAACCACTGCTGGAGATAAAGTCTGCAGAAAATGCAGGTAATCAACCAAAATAAGCTTATGCTTCAATGCAAGTTTGAATCATTTTACTTTTAGGGTAGATGAAATGCTAATGATGCATGTTTAAATGATTCACTGAGAAATGACAATATCACAAATGAATTGCCGAGAAAACCATGAGCATTTGAGAAGTCGTCCTTGGGAAATTGGACTTCAATGAGGAACAACCATTGGAACCGATAACCAACGAGTATAAACCGCGGCACGAGATTGCAACTCAAACATGTCAACTCCGAGGAGGGATGCCACTGAAAAGTGGACTTTAGAGAGAATACTGCAAAAATAAATTGCAGCTCACTGAGGAGAGATCTTTGACTCCAAACAACTCTTAACCTCCTGGGGAAAAGATCAATTAACTTCCTACTAAAAATAGGGAGCACTTCACTTGGGGAATAGAAATCTTCTTGAGTGAAGTTCTTGATGAAAATCGACTTCACCAGGGTTAAGAATACTCAAGCGGGGATAACGAGAATTCTTGAATAAGAGAAAATCGTCGATGAACTCCGTTGGAGAAAAAATCTTCACTTGGGGAAGAAATGTTTTACTGAGGGAAAACAGATCGTCCTGCATAGAGTCCTTGATAGAAATCAACTTCTACTGGGGGTACATACCACCTTCCATTACTGAGGAATAAGAGAATTCTTACGAGAACCCTCACAAGTGCGAGCCAAATTGGGAAGTGAACATTGGAAGACTTTCACCCAATCACAACCTTACTGGGGAGAAAAAGATGACCCCTTAAACGATATCAACGAGGAGTGTATTCAAGTGCAAATTCCACTGAGGAAAAGCAAACCGCCTCATAGGGAGGAGAGACATCTCAAACCAGAAACCCTTAAAGCTCAAATTCCACTAGAGATAGAAATAACCTCCTTCGTTACCGTGGATAAGAGAGTTCATACTCACATCAGCATTCATAACACTAGGAATGCCAAATTTAGGAAATCCACCACCGTATAATCTCACCGGGGAGAAAACCCGCTCTATTGGGAAAAAACAACGACTTCGTGGGGATAATGATGATCTCATACTGATAATTTTACAAGAAACTTTAAGAGATGAAAACCACATTAGGAATATAAAAGCCAACCATACTAAGGAGATGGGTGCAAATTTCATGGGGAAGACGAGTACCAACCTCACTGAAGAAGTAGATGCAAACTTCATTGGAGAGATGGCGAACCACACTTGGGGATAAACAGCGGTACCAGATCTCACTGGAGATAAAGATGGTGATACCAGACCTCACTGGGGATGCTCTTTTAGAGAGATATATCTGAAGAGAAATATCTTAGCAAACAAGCTTTCGTTGAGCAACAGTGCATGCTACACATGGGAAAAGGATTATTCTTGAAGGTGTGAAACTCATTGGTTGCAAATGGGTTTTTAAGACCAAGCAGGATTCTAACGGTAATGTGGAGAGGTATAAAGTTTGTGTTGTGGTTAAGGATTATACTCAAAAGGAAGTGATTGACTTTAAAGATACTTTCTCTCCGGTTTAATTTAAAGACTCTTTTAGAATAATCATGGCTCTTGTTGCATATTATAATTTGGAACTCCATCAAATGGACGTCAAGACAATATTCCTCAATGGATTCTAGGAAGATATTTGACCAATCCAGGAATGGATCATTAGAAAGTAGCCAAAAAGGTTATAAGGTATTTAAAGAGAACAAAAGACTATATGCTAATATATAGGTGGTCAGACCAGTTTGAGATCACTGGATACTCTGACTCTGATCTTGTTGGATGCCAAGACAGTAAAAGATCTACTTCAAGCTATATCTATATGTTGGTTTGTGGTGGAGTTTCTTGGCGCAGTGCCAAGTAAACTCTTACGGCTTCATCCACCATAGAAGCATATTTTATAGCATGTTATGAGGTATCTAACTATGGGATTTGGTCGAGGAATCTTGTTACTGGGTTGCGAATTATGGAAGGAATTGAAAGGCCACTTAAGTTATATTGTAACACTAAATTAGTCGTCATGTATTTCAACAATAATAGGAGCTCGACCAAGTCAAAATATATTGGCATCAAGTTCCTAGTTGTTAAGGAAAGGATACGAAGTGGACAGATTTCCATAGAACACTTGAGCATAAACTCCATGATAACAGATCCTCTTACAAAAGGTCTTTCCCCTAAGATCTTTCATGAGCACACTGCTCACATGGGTGTTTTACCGTTAGAGAGAACTTTGGTTTAGTGGGAGTGAGTCGATTATGAATTGTATGTTCTATGTTTTGGTATTATGTATGCATACTATGATTTTGGATATTTTTCAAATTATTTAAGTTTTGATATTCAGCAGTTTATATTTTGTACAATAAAGTTATTGAGTGATCACACTAAAATAAAGTAGGACCAGTTGAAAATCGATATATACAAACCAATTTCATGTGATTTTCATGATGTACATTTCATGATTGATCTATGTCATTTAGTTATGTCACTATTGGTGATCATTGATGGGTTTAGTTGTGATTAATATAATGAAAATCACTTTAATTCTATATATTAGCATGACTAATAAACGAGATGATTTTGATACGCTTAAAGAATATAATGGTGAATTTTAGCTCATAAAGTCTAACACATGTGTATGATAACATATGTGACCAGTGGGAGATTGTTAAAATTTTTGGGTCCCAAATATAATATTACATGTGTTAGGACCATTATGCAATTAGTCAAAGTTATAGTGGTCTAATTAATAATAAATATGTGCCTGAAAACATAAATGTCATGAAAGATAATTGTGTAGATACCATAAGTCAATATCTAATTTGATGAGGTGGCAAATTAGAATATTGAAAACTAAGAACTAACCCTGAGATTATTTATAGGGGTTATGGTCTCCAATTTGTAGACAACACAAAACGGCTTATCAGGAATTGTCTCTTCATTTTCATCAGAAGAAAATCAAGGAGTCATAAGAAAATCTACAAAACCTTCGGTGATTCTTAATGGAAAATTTAGATACACTTTCTATTTCATTCTCATAATTGTATTCGGATATGGGTTTAAGAGTTTTATTTAAAATTCGGATCTTAATTTTTATATTGATAAAAATTATAAGATTTACGAAAGATCTAATAAATGTGACTTTATTTTTGAATAATTAAATTTTAAAATCATAAAAATATTTTGGTCAAATTATCCAACCTGTAGAATGGTTATATATTTTGGAGTTATAACAAAGGTCAGAAACTTATGTGAATATTGATATGATTCTCAACTTAATCTACATTTTTTAAGGGGTTATAACAAACTTTTAAAAATTGTGTATTAGAGAAAATAATAGTAGTTAAGTTAAGATTCGTATGAAAAGCATTTTAAAAAAATGTACACAAAATTTGTTCTCAAAATAAATATATATAAAAATATAAAAGGAAACAAATTGACCTAAGCCCAAATATATACAAGTACAATTAGCTGATTTATTTATTTTTGCTGATGCGTTTCACTTTGTAATTGCTATGTTCTTTAACTAAATCTAATTGCTTGTTTTTTTTTTTCATTACCAATGTAATTGGTTTTGTTAAACTGATTTGAGAAAGTAGCTTTTACTATATTCTAATATGTTTCTGGAAATATGTTATTGACATTAATTGATATAAAAGAGAAAATTAATTTATTAATATGAACGGAGGGAAAAAAATTCAGATAATAAAGTAATGTTTTCTCTGTGTAGGTATATATGACATGAATAATCATTGATTACACTTTAAACTTATGGATACAATTTTGAAAATACTAGAATCCGTTTTCTTAAGAACGGAGCATTAAAAGCAAAAATATATAAAATGTTTATTTTTATAAAAAAACAATTATTTACTAAAAATATTATTTATTATATTTTGCTTCTGCATCAAAATATAACTACTTTTAATATTTAAATACAACTTCCAATCTTATTTATAAGAAATAATTTAGTTTTTAAATTAATTGAATAATTAATAATCAATCTATATTTAATAGACAAAAGAGAAGTGTGAAGTTAATGGAGGAGTGCAAATAAATATAAGAGGTGTTTATTTCAAATGTAATAAAATTACATTTTTGAAAATAAATTGTGACTGATTGTTGATTTAAGGTGATTTTAGAGAACGATAAATACAAAATTATCCAAATTATCAATTAGTAAGTGAATCACCTACCTATATACACGGTATGTATGTATGACAACAATATACATATATATTGGAATAGTGTAATAGTGATCTCACTAATGTAGAGATGGAAAGATGATGTTTCGTTAGGTCATTTCTCAGCAAATGCAGCCTGTATGTCATATGTCATGGTTGATGGTGGTGTATCCGAAAATACAAAGACTTGCAAGCATGTCGTTATGGAGTGCATTTTGGAAGTACTCTTCCTCGGGCTGGTAAAGATTATGAATCTTTCTTGCATGGTTCACATATTTGAGACATTCACGTTCCTATAGAAAATAAAATATAAGAGTCTCAGTCGAGTTGAATTTGGTTACAAAATAAAAAATAGCACCGTTCAAAAATATACCTCTCCGTCCCAGACATGCAGAGCTACATGCTCTCCAAAGTATATCAGTAAAGAAGTGTCTGTGGACCCTCTTGGAAAAGAGTCTGCCAGTGGAGCATCCTCAGCAACTGGGACCTGCGGTACAACTGGAGTATCCTCATCATGGTGGACACGACTCTAGGATCCCGACCCTTGGGATAGTCGACTCCTAGAGGTCTACGCCTCCCTATCGTGAGGCAGAGGGGGACGACTCTAGCCTGCTCATGTTGACGAGCCCTCTCGCGATGAGCACACGCGGTTAGGGTGGGTCGCCCGAGTCTCAACCTTGCATTGTTTTCAGCCATAGCCCTTGAAAATAACATAACAAAAGAGATTAGTATATGAGGAACGAAAGAGTTCGGAGATATATCTCCAAAAACATTAAACAGAACACTTCAGAGATACATCTCCGAAAAAAAGCTTCGTTCAACTTCAATGGCATAAACTTTTCTGCAACGGCCCTAGCCATCTAAGTATCATCCAAACTCATCCAAATCATGTAAACATAGTCTACACATAATATATTTCAAATGCTAATGCTATCTAATGCATTAAAAGTAACTTATTTGAGCTAATAAATTATTCAAAAATCAAAATAAACTAAATGAGAAACTTACTCAAAAATGTGTTGATGAGGGTGTAAAATGATATGATGTTGAATGCAGTAGTTATATGAAGTTGGGAATGGAAAGATACAAGTAAGTGTTGCTTCAAAACTTGACCTTGAGTGAGAACTGGAAATGGATAGAGTGAGGTAGAGAGAAGAGAAAGTTTTGAGTTTCTGAAAAATGAAGAAGGAGAAGAGGGAGAGTCTCGCACGAGCTTTAAATATGCTCACCTAGTTCGGAGATGCATCTCCGAAATAGTTTTCTAAATTAAAAAAAGATTTATTAGGAGATGTATCTCCGAACACACCCTACAAAGCCCTTCAAAGACACATCTCTGAATTAACCTGTGGTTAAAATAGATATTTGGTGCGTCCGGAGATACATCTCCGAAAACACTGGCCATTTTAGAATTTTTGCACATGGCTTGGTAAAATGTTCATGGATGCAATGAGAAATTTCCTTACTCTAAGTGAAATAGTTGGGTTGTGGTGAAGGCCTAAGTTGCTAGCCACACTTGCTTAGATGAAATTAGGGGCACTTATCTCATCCATTCAATGGTGAGTTGAACGCTGCATATTCTAGACCAACACCCATAATGTATTGGGAATTTATTTTCAATCACCCAACCTCACAAAATCACCTAAAGCTCTCATTCATAATTATCATAGCTTCATCAATGGAAGCTCTGAACATTTGAGCTAGACCTCACTCAATATTCATCATCATCTTCAACCTATTACAAGCTCTTCTCAGTCTCAACATTATCTCAATAACCTCTCAGAATTTACTCTCATCACTCTCATCCTATTCTACCAGGAACAACAAACAACAACATCTTAGCATCAAACAGAAAGATCAAAGAAGAGAATTGAAAAGAAGAGGTAGAAGAAGAACTAATATAAACAAAGGATCAATAATTGATACCTGGAGGAAATCATAGCTTGGAGATGGGTTTATCATCATTTTTACGTGTCTCCTTCGTCTTTTGCCATTTCTTCTTTCACCATGTTGTAGAGTTTGTTGAGTAGAGTCTAAACCCCATTATTACTACTTGATTCTCTACACTTGCGCCATTTAATTTTGATTGAGATATTCTAGGGTTTTCGTTATTTTGGTCGGAGAGGTGAGGGAGAAGGGCTTGATTGAATGAGACATCTTCCCTTTCTAATTTCTCACCTAGGCCCTGGACATTGGCCCATATCCACTTTTACTCAGGCGCGCCCTTTGATTGCTTTTGTACCACCAATTTTTTTAGGTTGAAGCAAAAAACAATAACTTGGGCTTAGATGTACAGGCCCAACACCTCTTTACTTGACCATACCCTATTTGTTTTAGTTTGGACCCCTCGAAAGAGCTTTTATTTATTTCTTTTTTTAGGAAACTCGTTTTTTTAATCTTGTTTTTAAATTTAGATATATCAAGATGACATGTTAGTTCTAATTAGAATTTATTTTTAATTAATTTTAGGATTAATATTTCTAGTTAGAATTCAATTAAAGATTATGATTAGAAATTGGGGTTTTATGGTATTAATCTTGATTTCTTTTTCTCTGTCTTTAAAATTCATGATTGATGATCATTGCTTGAATTGTTTGATCTTGATGTTTTTGACCTATGACTTTGCATACTCCCTCTTCTTAATTTAATTGGTTGATTCAATTCATTTTTGGTCAATTGATTAAATTGATGACTTTAGGACATTAACCATGTTAGTTAATCTTTTTGATAAGTTAATTGTGTGATCAAAACCATAGGGTGAAATGTTCAATAAATTATGCATGATAACATTAGAGTATCACCCTTTTTGGTACTATAGTTATTCTCTATCATGTTATTTCACTTATTTTTGTTTACTTGTCATATTTAAGACTACGAATATCATTTTTACAATAAACTTCAAAAATACTTAAAACTACGATGAAAATTATATGCCACGATCCCTAAGAAGTGGGGAATGAGTAATTGGGTGTATGCCTCTTTATTCCGAGTATTTTGAACATGGGACGTATGACCTAATCGTTCAAATTATTCGCCTTCACTCATGGACTTTAGTTCAATTTGTATAAAGACAATTTTCACAATTAAAGGATGAAAAAGAACTTGTTGCGTGTATACCTCTCATTTCCCTGTATATTTAGATACCCGTTGTTTAGGGGGGCCATTTGATATATGTCTCCTAACAATCAATCCCAACCAATAAAATCTCTTTTTTTTCCGCCTTGGGCAACCTTAAAAACTTTTCTTAAAAGAACATTTTATATCCGTTATATTGAAAAACAAACAAACGCTTAAAGTCTCCCATGCATGAGCGTAACATCCATGTTTAATTGCTAGAATGATATCCGAACGCATCCATTCTATTGTGATATAAACTAACGCTTAGAGTCTCCCATGCGCGAGGGTACCAACAATGTTTAATTTCTAGAATGCGATTTTAGCATTGTTCAATAAAAACAACCAACAAATACTTATTTTCTACCCACGAACTACGTAGCTCTGATTTTCTCATTGTACTATGAGAATACGTAGGCACAGGATTTCGAAATCTTGGCGAGCACGTTAATTAAAAACTTATTTTCCCCTTAATTAAATCCTTTAAAATCAGATGATAAATCCAAGAAAACACAAGTAACTTTAAGTTAACACCCATATATGCAAAACAATCAAAACGGTTCCCGTTGAGTACAACGGATGTGAGGAGTTCTTAATACCTTTCCCTTGCATAATCGAGTCCGGAACCTGAATTTGGTTTCGATGACCATTTTCTTTTTACTTTTGGGGTTTTACCGATATTTCCACTTTCCTTTGGAATAAATAAAGTTTGGTGGCGACTCTGTCTATATTTCAAGCATTCCTTACGCTCGGGTATTTTTTGCGGTGCGAAAATAGCTAACAGGTAATTGTTTAGTAGTTAATATTTAGTGAGTACTAATGATGTCCTCACATGCTGGAGCATCAGGAAAGACATTTGGCCCTTTTTTAAAGTAAGCTTTTGTGTTAGTAGTATTTTGCATATTCTGATACTAACTACTAACTATTTGTGTTACACGTGACTAGGCATGTGAATGATTACATGCAAATAATCATTAGTTGGTTAGATTATATGCTACTAACTATGTGCTGACTAAGTACCATGCATGACTAAGTATGTTAATGGTTGTATGATTGACTGATTGGTTATGAAGCATTATTACTATGTGGCATCTGTTCTGAATGTTATTCATTTCCCGCTATTGTACTACAACTATGATGAATATTGTTGATGATGATAGTGCAAGCTATGATAATCTTATGTTGCATGTTACTTGTTCTGATTGAATGAGTGTTAATTATCTTGAAGAGTTATTTTGCCACAATTTTCTAAAGGGAAGATTATTGTTCCTTTTTCGATTGGCTACATTATGTAAAACAACAGCACGGAGAAGTGTTCAAGATTGCTCATCTACTTCAAACTTTTTTTTGATGCATAAGGGACACATTCTAGACACGATGTCACAACATGTGGGTACAACATCCGAGTATTGCTCAACAGGCCAAAATGTTGCATTTTGGAAGGATTTTCTGTTGAAGATTCAATTAGATTTTATTTATTTTATTTAGCAATATGATTATATGATTTGTTGGATAACTGTGAAGATCAAGTCATATTTAAATGGAGATATAAATTTGAATTTAAAACAAACGAAATCATATATTTTTGTGGGAGATATTTGTGGAACAAATCATATCCAATTGATTATGTAATTATTTTGGACGAAATAAAATTAAATATCCAAGGAGAAAAGATCCAAAATACTTTGATATATAAGGAGCTCAAACCTACATTGGAAAGTAATCAATACATTGAAGATCTTTAGAGTGTTAGGATTTATTTGAGTCCTTATTATTATTGTATGTACACCACACTATGTTTCAATAACATGACATAATTGTAGGTTTGTCTTAGTTGAGTTGTAAATTCAACCATCAATAGAATTGTTATTGAGGTTTATCCCTAGGGTTTAGTGATTGAGAGAAAGTGAGAGGGGTTCTCATATTTAGGGAGAGACGTAAACAGAAAGTTATTGGGTAGTGTTAGGAAGAGGCATTGAACAACATGAGTTTGTTTTTCTTATAAGACTAATTGTACTAAACAACCAGTAGTTAATTTCCTTCCTTGGGTTGAAAACCAACCCTCTAGACATATGTGAAGTTGCATCGACCTGGGTTACCAATTATTGTGTTCTTTGTTGCTTTTATGCTCCATTATCTTGTACAAGTTAGAATATGTTAATTATGGAGATTCTGGTTTAACTTGTCGAACCAGTTGTCCAGAACATCGTGTTCGACATCTGTCCCCTAAGGAACAAAATTTCAATCTTCATCTATAAAATCCATAAATATCACGCATGAAAACAATTGAATTTAAGCCATCAAAAGCTGATTTTTACATTTTTTAAATCAGGTAATCATTTACAAGATTTAAGTAATCGGTTACCAGTTATTGTTATCTCATATTTTTGAACATTGGAAAAGCTAATTTCTGCAATTTTTAAATCACGTAACTGGTTAGTTAATTTGAGTAATCGGTTACAGGGTCATTTTATTTGAAAAATTTTAAACGTTACAAAAGTGATAACTGGTTACACCTTTTATATAATCAATTACACATTGCAAAATTATGTATTTTCATGAATTATTGTCATTCTAAACCATTACAAACTTTTATGGAAATGCTACAAAATAATGCATCTATTCATAAATTTTGCATAGGGTATTTTTAAGGCAAGATACATCAAAATTTCAACATCCTCTTTCATTCAAATATTAATAAAATTCAAATCAATTTTCTAAGTGTTCATTCATTTTCAAAATGTTGAAACTTTGTGTATAACTTTCAAATCATTCAAAAAGTTTCATAATATGTTCTGAGCTCTTAAGGTATATATATTATTGAATTGTAACATTGAAAGAGAAGATCAATCTTTATCTTGGAATTCATTCAAGATTCAAATACTTAAGATTATTCAAACAATGTGTTGTAACTTAATCACAAAATTTATGGTGATAAGTTATTTGTTGTGAGAGGTTCTTTGAATTGTGTAATTCAAAGCCTACTATAGTGTTTGGTGTTTATGTTAAAAGATTATAAGAGAGGTCTTGGTGAGATACTTGTGCAAAGATCTAACATAGTGGAAAATTCTTCAAGGTGTGAAGAGACTTGATGTACCCTTGGTTATAAGGCGAACTAGTATAATTGCCATGTGTCTTTTATTCTTCAACACTTTAAATTTTGCATTATATTTTTCTAAGAACATAACATATTCATAACTTCTGAAAATGTAACATATTACAATTATTGCACAAAAATGAGAAAAATCGTGCAACTTTAATTCACCATCCCCTTAGATTGCATCTCGTAGTTACATATCAGTCAATGATAGGGTGATGAGCTATGTACTCGTCCATGTGAAAAATAAGGTTGGACAACTGGTCAACTTTGTGAGTAAGGTATTCAAAGGTGTTGAGGTAATGTATCAAAAAAATTGAGAGAATGATATTAACAATCGTGATTACTACAAGGAAGCATACCATATTTCCAAAGGTATCATGTGATGGTGAAAACCAACTATCCCATCTGCCAAATCCTTAAAAAGTCGAATATAGCAAGTAGAATGGTATCCTGGTCAATTGATATATCCAAGTACGAGATCCATTAAGTGCCTAGAAGAAGTATAAAATCACAGGTGTTAGAAAATTTGTTGGAGGAGTTCAATTCACCTGTGGGAAAGGAGGTCCCTTACGTATGGATGAATTTTTTGGATACAAAAATACAAGCTCTCTTGCTCTTGATCACATAAGAGGGTCATCACTATATTTTACTTTTTAGCGAGTTCATATATCCTACGAGACTTTGAGTTTTCTTCGAGTCTTCGTGTCAAAATTTCCAAGAAAAACT